CAGGAGCGATTTTGCGACCGCGCCGTCCTCACCTTACTTACGCTAATTTTGGTTAAAAATGCACAATAACTTGAATTTCATAGGACTATTTCGGCAAGGATGAACGCACAAAGGTTAAGTATATAAGTAGCAAAAGGTTTTTGTTTAGAAGAGCGCATAATAACCACGAAGAAGTAAAAAACATCACTTTCGCTGCGAATGAAATTAAAAGCATTTATATCTAAGTACTCCCATCAAATCAAATATATTGAAACTCACAGAGTTTTGTTTCAACTAACTCTAAAATCTTTCATAAGAATATTGACGGCAGTGAAAGTATTATTAAGAAAGAATCGGAAAAAAGTTTTGTGCGTTCGGAAAATCTTAATCAAAAGATACTTGACCACTCTAGCTGCCAAGCGGTTTATAGTCATGCTAATGTATTATCTATAGAATGAATACAAGAAACCCGAGAGGAAGGAGCGCAAGCACGATAAAAATGAGTAGCATAGACTTGACGCGCATGCGCGTCAGAATGTCCGATGCGGTGCGAAATTCTTGACGCGCATGCGCGTCAGCTTGTCGTCAACGTGTTAATCTTGTATTGCATTAATCGATCGCGTTAAATGTTTTTCGGTACGCTCCAAATTCTGAAAGTTGATTTTATTCCTTACTACGACGGCGAATTGGTACATGATCGCCGCACTTCCCGATTTATGCGCTCCTTGGCTCCAGGTGCGCTTGTGTGATCAGGTGCATAGGTGATCAGGAGATTAGTGGTCCTCAGTTGATATGCCAGTACGTATTTAACCCTTCCAGCGCAGTCCTATTCTCTTGATATTAGGATCTTCTGAACTTCCAATCTCGTGCGTCTGAATCGTTACATGTGGTACTATTGCACTATAACGACCCCAGTAGGGGTAGGCCGACGTCATACTTTGCGATTCGATTAGCGATTCGCAAAGTATGACGTCGGCCTAAGAGGTTCAAAAAGATTTTTCCCCTAAAATTTCTTATATGGGGATTATCGAGGGTTCTGATCACGAATATTAGGTTTATTTTTAGCGCTGGCGCCAATTGGCGCCAGATGGCGCCATGGCTGAATTCACTAAATTCGCTGTAAACTTCTATAGGGGTTATTTGGGGCCCTGATTACGAATATGACATTCGTTTTTGTTGTTGGCGCTATTTGGCGCCTATTTCCTGCTCGTCTGCGCCCTCTCACTAATTAGATCGCAATCAGGACTAAGCCTTTGGAATAGTGGAGGGCTCCAAAGTGAGTAAGCCACTCACTCTGTGATCTCACACACTTCAACTTTTGCCAGACAGTGCTTGCTTTACCCACTAAATCGCATTCACTCTCCCTGATTTTAGTCTTTGGAGCTAGGTAATAGAGCCCAGAAAAGAAGAAAATCAGCGTCAAAACAGCGCAAGCGACAAAAACGAATGTCATATTCGTAATCAGGGCCTCAAATAACCCCTATATACAAGTTTACAGCGAATTTGGTGAATTCAGTGTGGCGCCAATTGGCGCCAAATGGCGCCAATTTGGCGCCAGCGCCAAAAATGGACCTCATATTCGTGATCAGGACCCTCGATAACCCCATATGGGAATTCTTCAGCAAAAAAATTGATCCATTTCACTGCTACTGGGTTATAACAGTACAATAGTCCCAACTATTCTGCTGATCTCCGAAATAGTTAACCCATAACGGACGGCCAGTGTATTTGTTGCGTGCGCGCACGCCGCCACCCAGGGTAGGGTTTATGTAGGCTTATGCGAACAGCAGGGTTAAGACGGGGCTAAAGTAGGTGTCCGTGTCTCATCATCCAAAAGAAGAGATTTCCGTTGACGACAAGTTCGTAACCCGCCTTTCCGCTCTAAAACTAGGGTGCAAAGAATGAATGGAAGCTGTAGGTGACATTATCGAAAAATGCGAAACAACAACCCCGAGCAAGGATGTGGCTATATTTAGGGGAAGGGGTCTCGGGACGTGCGAACCATGGGTAAGCCACCCATCAAATAGTAAACTTATGTAAATTAAGACAAAATGTATGTAAAATTTATTGTAGGTTTGTCCGTCCAGGTCCTGGGAAGATATGTTATTCCACATTGCTGAGAGTATATATGGGTATATTAAGATTGCTAGAAACATTCCAAAAACAAAAGAAATAGTCGTGCGCCACCATTGTGGCGCACGCCGTCCGTTATGGGTTAAGTTCGCCACTTAAAGGCATGCCCCAGGATCACATTGGTGTGGCTCTTGCACACGAATGCGAATGTATTGGTGCGAAATGGGCCGGCAGTAAAGAAAAAAGGAAAAGAATCCGTCGAAAACGCTTAGGTTAAGGGCTCACTCACCTTCCTAATCGGCTGTGCTAAGGGAATGAGAGACTAAGCGCGGAGAGGAGAGTATGAGGCGAGAGAGCGCTACAGATGAGAGAGCGCCAGACAACAGCCTGATAAGAGAAAAAATCTGCAGCTTCAGCAGCTTACTTTGCAAGGCCCAAGCGCTCTTGTCGGTTGGTTTCCGTGCACGGGAACGCCACATTTGTGATTGTCCTCTAGGGGTCTATACTACAGACCGAAGGGAAACGTTCATCGACCTGCCTGGATTATGTTTTTAGTGTTGAAGGTTTTTGTGTTTCGAGTGTTTCTGAATATTATTTTGCTTACCTAAGCGAAGTGGTGTAGTGGCAAGTGGCACGCTTACCACGCGAGCGGTCCGGGGATCAAATCCTGGGTCGTGAGTCGCCGGGCCAACCAAGCCTTCCATCCCTCCGGGGTCGGTTAATTGGTACCAGACTTGTCTGGGAGGATAAAAACACTGACTTGTACATCGGCTGGCCCCCGCAAGTCATTGTATAGGCCACATCGCATTCAAACGCCACTACGAATGTACAAATGGAAGTAGAATGCGTGCCGCATCCCAAAAGGGATTGATCAACGGCAAATGCTTTATCCTTTACCTTTATCCTTATTTTGCTTCCTTGGTTTTTTTTTTGTTCTCATAGTCCGATTGCATTTGTCACACTTACGTGTATTAATGTCTTTTCGGAGTGCACTCTTTCTTTTGTTGGCATCCGTAGCATGCTTTTGAGCCATAGAATACTCACTACCGTGAAGTCCACGCTACGGACTTGTTGTATCCTTTGTGTTATTCTTACTGAGTCTTCTTTTTTTTAAAATACGCCAATCTCTAGAGTTTCTTCTTAGTCTTTCTGAGCTTGAGAGCCTCTCTATGCACATGTTTCAGCTTCTGTTCAAAACTTCTGCTCGTGAGCCGAGCCTTTCATGATTGAGAGCTCAATTTTCTGAAGCGTCACCAGTGCTGGTTTATTTTTTACATAGTAGTCGAGATGAGATCGAATCCATCTTCCCATCATTTTTCTTGTATTAGGCTGCCTAAAAATGCGGGTTTCTCGCCTACGTGAAGTCCACGCTACGGACTTGTTGTATCCTTTGTGTTATTCTTACTGAGTCTTCTTTTTTTTAAAATACGCCAATCTCTAGAGTTTCTTCTTAGTCTTTCTGAGCTTGAGAGCCTCTCTATGCACATGTTTCAGCTTCTGTTCAAAACTTCTGCTCGTGAGCCGAGCCTTTCATGATTGAGAGCTCAATTTTCTGAAGCGTCACCAGTGCTGGTTTATTTTTTACATAGTAGTCGAGATGAGATCGAATCCATCTTCCCATCATTTTTCTTGTATTAGGCTGCCTAAAAATGCGGGTTTCTCGCCTCTACCTTCAAAGAGGCGTATTTCTCAACTCAATCACGATACTAACACCTCCTTCAGGAAAATGGAGGACTTTCAAATGCGAGTGCGACTTCTGCCACAGACAGGTGCACGGCGTATACCCGAGCAGGCGTTTTCCCACAAAAACGCCTTCTCTGTCAGCGGCCGTGAAGCAGACAAACTTCCAAAGAGAATTTTGATGCTTTCAAATCAAATCTAAGCGGAACAAAGTGTAGCGAACTTGCTGAATTGAGTTCTAGAAACCCCTTAGGAAATTGAAGCAGAAGAAAGAATTTTACACTTTTTTGAAGTACTCTTCGAGTAGATTCTAACAGTCTTTACCGCTTCTCATCACATTAATTTGAAGGAAGTTATGGGCCTTTGAAGACTGCATAGTCGCGGTCCAGGAAAATGGCTTGAAAAAAATCAAGGTGGAAAAAACGGAACAACGGGACTATTTTTTGAGCGAGTGATTATTTCAAAAAGTTTTAGCACTTATTCGAAGCTCTAATCCTCTAGTTCTAGTTTCTAATTAGCCTTAGACATCTGCAAAAAGTTGATTATGAAGAAAGTTATGAACGTTTGAATGTCGAAAACTCGCGCCTTCTCAAAAATCGGACCACAAACCCCCCAAAAACGGAACAACGGGACTATTTTTTGAGAGAAATGATCGCTGGAAAATTTTCAGGTGCTTGTTTGAAAGCGCTAATCTTCTAGTTTCTAATTAGCCTTAGACATTTGCAAAAAGTTGATTATGAAGAAAGTTATGAATGTTTGAATGTCGAAAACTCGCGTGTGCACAAAAACGGGACGATTTTTTGAAATATTGAACATCCGCAACATTTCAAATACTTTTTAGGAAGAAAACTATTTGAATTTTTAAAATTTTGGTGTCCGGTTCCATGAGACCGCTTCTGAAAAAATATAACCTTCTGAATGGAGGGGTTTGTATTGCAACGTAATTGCTACAAGGTTTAGTTTTTCAGATTATAAAAGAAGGAAATTGAGAGATCGAAAAAAACTTGGTAGGTTTCTGAAAGTAGAAATCTTTGTGATTAAATGATGTATTGGTTTACGCAAAAATTTGGAAATTCCTTCTATTTAATGAATAAAACTTCATGTTGCCTCGATTCCCTCCTCTGAGCGAGACAGAGCGCGCGGATTGACCACGGTCCACCACTTTGACCACGGTCCACCACTTCTCCATGTTGGTGACTGCCCACACATCAATGATGAGCATTAAATTATGTGAAAGACATAATAGTTAATACGGGGGGGGGGGGTCGTACCGATACCCTCCGAAAAGGAAGGGGGTCGTAAAAATTTTGGAATTTGCGCAACGCAGGGTTGACCTTGCACATACGAGCTCAAGGAGGTATTCAACTTGTTGTGAAGGGTGTGCATCAGTATTCCTTGTCATATCAGGTCACCTCAGAATAGGACACATCTGTTTGCTCGTAGTAATCCTAAGCCCAAACCTGAACCTAGGCTAAGCACAAGCAAATGTACAAGTATAAGCTTAATCCCGTGCTTAATCTTAGACCGCAGTCATCGCGTAGTTGTGATGACCTGGCCTGTGAAAACCGGAGCATCTCCCGGCTGGAAGTCACCGATAATTATCACATCCAGCAATCCATTGGTGGTTGCCAAGCGCAACGTTGAGGCAGCTTCGTCCTCCAGAAGAACTGGATGTCGGTGCTTTGTTTCAAATTACGCTTACTTACCGCCTGTAGAATTGATATGAAAACTTGAAAAAGAATGCGTTTCCAAGTGCATCATCTATTTAACCCTTCCAGTTGCCAAGTAGGTGCTGAGTTGAGAAGGACTATGGATAAAGGTAAGCGAACCCAGAATATGCTGACAAGGAATGGTCAATTGGTCGGTCCGGCCATTTGTGAATGAGGTGTAGTCCGATGCACGCGTCTTGCGACGCTGAGCTCAAATCCGTTTTCGGTTTTTGCCGAACGATTCTCTGAACGAAGTTACGAGGGATTCTTCTCACTGTGGCTATCTCACTGTGGCGCCCTCTACATTCCCTGTCCCACTCGGCTCGCATAAGAAGAGCCGCAGAGCATCTATTGCAGTGAGCATGGTGGTCTAGTGGATAGCGCTCTTGCTTCATAGGGGTGAGGTCATATGTTCGAATCCTTGTCCGCGGCAAGCTTTTGCATTTTTTCAAGGCTGCTCATACGAGCCCAGAAAGCGTTTATAATTGGTTATTCTGTTATGCGTTCTGTTCGTTCGTTCTGTTTTTACGCGAGCCAAGTGGGATAGGGGGATGTAGAGGGCGCCACAGTGAGATAGCCACAGTGAGAAGAATCCCTCGTAACTTCGTTCAGAGAATCGTTCGGCAAAAACCGAAAACGGATTTGAGCTCAGCGTCGCAAGACGCGTGCATCGGACTACACCTCATTAAAATGGCCGGACCAACCATTTGACCATTCCTGGTGAGCTCAAACGAGCATCACGCTAGAATGCTAGAATCTTTCGATGAGAATGATTCCTAGTAAAGTCCCGTTCTGTCACATAATCCGTTGCCTCTGATTTCGTCCTTATAAAAAGACTATGATGCTCTTTTCAGTTTTTTGGGTATTTCGTTGGGTTTTCAAATGGAAAGTCTGTATAGAATTCAGCAAATCGGGTCTTATTCAGTGTTGAATAAGAAAGAAAAGAGTAAGGTCTTTGGTACTCCCACATATATGGAGCACTATTGCCACAGTGGTAATTAACACCTTGGAGCCCACGCAGCCCATATGTGGGCTGCAGTCCTCGACCGCATAGGACCTTTCAGCTCGCATTTCGTAAACAATTATTAGGTTTTTCATTCATTTTCTTTTCCATTTTATCCGATAAGATTTCTTCTGCATTATACAGTGGGTTCTTCTTTTGAATTTGCTAGATAAGATCCCTAAAAATTTCACCGAAGTCCCGCGCGGCCGCGGAACGTAAAACACGCGCGGTCTCCAAAGTGTTAACGCTCATTCCTGTATCGTTTTGCCGCTTTGACTTTGGTTTTCAATTTGAGCCCGCTTCTTTTCTTACTTTGACATGTATCATTTCGGTGCTGGCAGCTCTTGTGTAGCTCTTCTCGCTAAAAATAAAGAAAAAAATGTTCCCTTCATTGGCTGTAAATGTTCTCACTCATGTGTACCGTTGTGAGTTACTCTTTGATGCTGTGCTAGTCTTCTTTGTGTGCATCATACTCTGCTGAATCTGCTATAATTCACTTCTTTTACACAGCAGGATTTTTGATTGGAAAAGCACGGAAAGTTCTTTTCGCCCATTGTTTCACTTACTGCCTAAGAACTACTTTATGGGTCGCCTTCCAAATTGATAAGATTGTTTGTCTCGTTGCAGAGAAAAGTACTTGGAAGGTACGTAGACTCAACTGCTTCTTCCTTCTTCAATTGGCCAATGTTAGCAAAAAAGAGATCAGTTTAGATGGTGGAGGATCGACCATGTCCGGAGTCGTCATCATTAAACGCTGAAGTGCACCGTGATATCATTTGCACTGAAAGACTTCTGAAATTTGGTGAACGCTTCTATCACACAACTGACCCTGAACTGCGGCGTAGGTGAGTCTGATCTGGAATCCTTCATTTAGCAAGTGCTGTCAAATAAAAAAATTATTCGGAAAAAACTTTCACTAAAGGAAGTCGTGAAAATGAGCAAAAATATAAGTGGAACTTGGACACAATGTTTGACCATAGTGGGTTGGAGCATCGTACTGAAAGCTAGTGGAAGATATCAAACATTTGATGGTGTACAGTAGTCCATTAATAAGTAAGCTCTAAATCCATTACCAGTGGGTGAGCATCTTCTGGTTAGTTATGTAAAACCTGCTCGGTCCTTTTGAAGGAAAAAATGCACGAAAAGCGGATAAGGATGTGCTTCGAATTTTTCAAACCAGCGCAATAGATCACTCAGTGTTATGGTATCGCCATTCGTTATGTACGGGAGATCAGCACATTTCAGTGGGTATTTTGCAGAAGGTTATGGATAGGGTCGAAACCAGAACCACATGGTGTCCTAAATGAAAGTCTACATGGCCGTAATGTGTGGACCACATCGATTTTTTGAACCTGAAACTTCGATCCGCCGAACTGCTACTTATCCTTGAACACCTTCACGCCGATGGCCGCCCATATGGGCTGCCAACAACATGCGCTCTGGGACGATGGCAGCCCATATGGGCTGCCAACTGATAATCGCTTGCCAGGCGCTAGGAATGGACAGAAAACCTCGTAATCGAGTGTAAAATGCTTTTAAATTCCTTCACGGGAAAGTGAATAAATGCTCTCTTTTCGTAACCACTATTTGTCGTTCTGATCGAAATCCTACTGTTATATGTTTAGATAATCTTTACGCATTGGACATTGCAGAAATTATTTTGTGACATTCATGTTTTTGTTCATTTACAAAACAAAATCTGCGGTTATGTGGTGAGGCGGCGGCGCCCACAAAATCGCGTCCGTCCCACGCGACCGAAAAGTGGAAAAGGGGCGTCGTCGTGAATGTGTTAATACGGGTTGCATGTAATAGCATGTGTCATTTTTGGTGGTAGAATTGGCCATCTTGAGTAATTTCATAGGGTTGAGGCATGGTTTTGGGATGGGATTTTCTATAATTCAAAATCTAATAATTTGGGGTGCCTATCGTTCTTGGTGATCGATCATCTTTGTATATCGCAGTTCACATGCTGAAACCCATTTGATCAGTTGATCGTCAAGGGGAATTCCGCAATATGCGCCACACTTCCGTCGCAACCATGACCTCTCTCTCTCCCAGCTGCTTCCACCCCCAACTAAGCTTTCATAGTGCAGCCATGACATACTGTGCTGATTTACATATTTCATGGTAGTTGGTTTATATTCGTACCAACCTATAAGTCTATTTGACAGATTGGTGCACGATATATTGGAGACGATTTACGAGACGATTGATTTGAAGTATGATAAAATGATCCGTGCCGATGCACTACTCACATCGTCGACTTTCGATGATCACAGGCAGCAGCTGATGTTCATTGCTTTACTTGTCTCGACCATTGCCATCAATTGGAGGAGCTTTCCGATGGCGAGTTTTTCGACCTTATCAAATCATCCAACACCCTCTGAAAAGCTAAATGAGCCCAATTGTGCTATGTAAGCAGTGCAACTACCTTTTTCAGATTTTATTAGCTGGATTATATGTCGATTCATTCGTTCCCGGATGAGCATCGTGGTGAATGCAAAACTTGTGGTTTTCTCCAGGAGAAGATCCTTCACTTAGCGGGTTTGGTCGGCGACAAAGATGGCTTCCTCCGTCATATGGTCAAGCAGCTGGGTGGTAATTTTATGGTCTCAAGTTTTTTGTTAGCAGAATATCATAAAATAGTAAATAGTAACAAAATAACAAATAATAACAAAATTCGTAATTTTTATCTAGCAGATATCTTTTGGTTAATGTTTTGTACCTGAAAACGACTCGTTGATAGCACTAGCGCCAGTGCAATATTCAATATGATGTGTTACTTGTACCAACTTTATTTTGCTAGTCAACCCTGCAGTCACTGAATACACTTCGAAAAAGAAGAACTGCTAGAAAGCAAAAGAGTTGCATCGGCCGGGAATCGAACCCGGGCCGCCCGCGTGGCAGGCGAGCATTCTACCACTGAACCACCGATGCTTTGTGATCTGTAGTTTGTGACGCTCTGAGAAGTTATACGATTTGAAATAGGTGAAAGATACTGTTGAGAGCTTGAGAAACACAACTCTGAAATTGAAGAAGACGCTATCATGAAAAGTGCAACAGCTTTCACTGGATGTCAATTGGGAAACAAGTTTTGAATACACAGTTTCGGCACTCATTCACTTCTCTGTTTCAGTGGCTTAGCAATTGACAAAGTTTGTTATCCAACTTTCGTGTCCACTTTTTCCAAATCCTTTTTCAGCCTTGGCTTCCGGAGAGAATTCTCTATCATCTCTCGGTGAGAAATACTGGGAAATACGAGTCAAAGGTAGTGGTTCTTAACGACGTTTCTGATTGCCGCAATACTGTATATTTATCCCTACTGTTAGTACCTTTCATCTAATAACGTAATTTGCTACTAATAATACTTTTCCTTTTTGTGGTCTTTATTCAAATTCTAGAGATATAATAAGTCATGTGAAGTTCAATTTCGATTCGTTGTCTTGCAAGTCTCTACAAGTGTTGTGGGTATCTCTTGTACATATTTGTGCTACTGGACCACCACGTCTCAAAGCGGTAAGCATTTCAGCTAACCACTCTTTGAACTTATCCACTATCCTAGGCATTTATCAAATGAAATGAATAAGTTACTGTGAGATTACCGATCCCTTTGAGATGCGCCACGCGCTTTACATACCCCGGAATAATGCTACTTGTCTACGTGATAGCTTGGGTTATGCAGTTGATAAAGAGTAACTGTATTCATTTTTACCAACTAGCTGGTGCTAACTCGCGCCTCCCGGTGTGGATAGTGGATGGGCGGTGTGGATAGTCTGCTAGACCAGAACGGGATTGCATCTGGGACTTGAGTCCTTTGCCATGGACGCGTAGCTGCGCCACTTCGCCATTTACAGAGGTAGGGCATCAGAACAACATGGTCGATTGAACTGTAAATTATATTTTCGCATCTGCCTTATAACGTGCTCAGGACTGCTTTCTGCCGAAAGGATCTCTGAAATTTCTCTCAACACTCTTTAAACGAAATCAAAGCAGAAAAACTCATTGGAAGTGGTCCAGGCTCACAGGTAGGGGTCGCTGAATGAAGTAGTCTCCATGTCCATCCTTCATTCAGCGACCCCAGCATGAAAATTCAGCATTTTTCACAAGTGTAGTTATTTCTTCTGTGCCTGACAGGTTTTGTATGGTGGAAGATTTATTGCCTGACGTTTCGACGAAATCGTCGTTTTCAAAGGCCTGAAAGCGTTCCGAAACTTTTACGAACTTAACCTATCCGCTCAACACAAATATGCGCTAAGCTAGTAACACTCAGACTAATGAACCATGGAGTGGAAATTTCAAAAACGGTTTCTCTCCACCAGTGTTGAATAAAGTTTTTGGTGTGTTGGATCTTTTGATTCTCATCGGCTTCATAACTAGAATTATGCCTTCATCAAAGCTTACCGTCCTATCATGTCTTTTGTGATCTGTAATTCATGCACATTTCTCAGAAGTTTTGGATAGAGCATCAGCATAAAATATTACTCGAGTGACAATGAATGTAGGCATTTATTTCGTAACACCATTCAGATATATTCCTGAAAAAAAGGGAGTGAAATTTATCATCAGTCAAAAAATCTTAAGTCAATCCATAGTTCCTCTACGGTTATTTGAAGAATATGGTTCCAGACATGTGTGCTTCTGTTTCAACGATTGCTGTCTTTGGATTTGGGCAACGAAATTGTTTGCCGACTAGTGTTTGATGTGATCATGGCAACAGAGGAGTTCATACTCGAACAGAACAAACCGACAGCTGGTTTGCAGGCATTGCTACAAGCTCACGAGAGCTGCTTGAAGGTGCATTATCAATTTTCAATTTCCCAAGAAATCCTTGTACTGATTTTGCTGAATTCATCAAAGGATAGTGTCTATAAGGAAAAGATCTTTGCCCATTTATTTCTTCGATTCTTCGATGGGTCCCCTATTGTTTTCACCCAATGCTTTCCTATTACGGTGAACAAGTGGAGTTCTAGGTATTAATGGAGCTACTGGAGGATATGGAACATAAAAGATCATTCGAAGGCATAGCTGTCTCGGTCATTGTAGGGTGGGGTATTCGTGCTGCCGAATTGGGATTTCTCTATTCTATCACACGTAAGGGGGCTATTTCTGCTAATTAATCAGTTTTTGGCACTTCAAAAATACACTTTACTGTGATTTCAACTTTTCAGCTGCCCGCTTCGAGATCGTCACTACGGCCGTTACCCGTCTTCTGAGCCGTCTGCAGGGTGATTTCAACGAGGAACATATGAAATTGATTAGCGTTCTTAGCTGATCTTACTCAGGTGTGAAAATCCTTTCCTTCGCAATAGTTCATAATGTTACGGCTCAAAAGGACTTAGAACGGTTGCAATTGCTATGCACCACAATTTTCAAAAAGCTTGGAAATTCCAGAATTTCCAGTTTAAAGGATAAAGGATAAAGCATTTGCCGTTGATCAATCCCTTTTTGGGATGCGGCACGCATTCTACTTCCATTTGTACATTCGTAGTGGCGTTTGAATGCGATGTGGCCTATACAATGACTTGCGGGGGCCAGCCGATGTACAAGTCAGTGTTTTTATCCTCCCAGACAAGTCTGGTACCAATTAACCGACCCCGGAGGGATGGAAGGCTTGGTCCCAGGATTTGATCCCCGGACCGCTCGCGTGGTAAGCGTGCCACTTGCCACTACACCACTTCCGCCTCCTTGAGTTTTCAGGTTCCTCGCATTATTTTCATTTCTGGCAGCTTTTAGGACGGGGTTGGTAGTGCAATGGATTTAGTATGAAGATGTTAAGGAACTCATTACACATAGATCTGCATCAGTGGAGTTTAAACTCACTGGGGCGAAGTTGAAGAAAGTTTCACGGCGAAGTATTGCTATCTTTCGATGAGCACAAGCAAGCTGTTGTTCATTATCTTCATAGTCTTCAAAATGTGTATGAGACTAAACCTAGTAATTGAGGGGGAGCGGGGCCTACCGTAATTTCTCCAGCTCGTGACATTTATGTAATCCTGTCGATTGAGTTACTGGTGAACAACTTTGTAGACTGTGGCTTTCATTGTGAAAGATCCTTGGGATCCTGCAGTTGGGAACGCACCGCTATTGCCATCATTCTTGTCTTGAGGGCATCCTTTCCGTGTTGGAGCTTTTCGAAACGGTGACAAAACCGATTTGTGGAATCTGGGCGGAGGGTGTCGCTAAGTGTCGCCTCTAGAAACCCGATGACGTTTCACTAGTCTTGCTGTCCGACGAGACGTTATGGCAATCTCCTCTAGCGCACCGGAGCGTGGGGTTGGAATTTCAAGCAAAAATTTCCATTTGGGCTTGGTAGAGCGATCAATCCAATGTTTGAAATCGAGGGAGAGATGAGTTTTTGTTATGTCTGCTTTGTTTTCAAACCTACCGCGGATGTGCTAGTTGGTCCGAAACTTCATCGGAATTTTCGGGCAGACCAGTTTTCGGTATGACCTGTTCAAATGCATCTTTTTCAGCCCCTCCTTCGTCTTGATGCTAATATTTTATCCATGTTTGAATTTTCGATTTCTTTTTGAGATGTACCATTTTCAGCTCCTTTGATGTCAAATTTTGTTACATTCAGACCAGTTACCAAATGGTTTAGTTATGTGTCATTTCATGTTTTACATTTCAGAAGCTGGTCGAGCGATTACTTGCTCTCGAACCAACTAGTAATGGCGGTATTGTTGAGAATTTGCATTCGTACTATTCATTTTTGCTGAATGTCGATCTGATCTCATCACAGAGGTAATTCGACTTATCTAGACATGTTCTTGTGATATATTCTGGGACTGTAGCAAAGTACCCTTAACTCGCAATCACAAGTAACGATCGGAGATTCTAAGCAAAGAATAAAGAATGGAGAGTGCGATCCAGCCCAGATCAAGCGTCTATTAAGATTTCAGGGAACACCAAATATATTTAAAGAATAAATAAAAAAAAATTGAAAAGATACATTGAAGTATGGATGAGCTGCATTTTTTGATTCTAACAGAGAGCTGGTCTGGAAGAAAAGAGTACGGATGGAGGAGGCGATTCGCAGTCCAACGTTACGTATGACCACGAAAGTGCTTCGGAGTACTTTTTAGTGAAGGATCAACGTGGCCTCTGCGTCTCTTTAACCCCACAGTATTTTTTTTCTCTGATTAGTTAGGAATTAGGTTTACAAGTTAACTGTCTAACTTCAAGTCAAATTGGTTTTTTTGGTTATGATCTAACTGTAGGTTAAACAAGACTTAATGTGTTGAGAAGCGCTCTGAACCAGTTATCTAAACCGACTTTGGTCTGAGAGCTAATCTCGACACGTTAAGTTTGATTATGACATGTTGCTACGCAATCCTGGTATTTTTCTTCGCGGTTAATTTTATTACGAATTTTTAACGTGTGAAAGAGTGCTGGATAGCATCCCTATGCAATACGCGTTGGCAAATCTTTTGCAGAGATTGAAAACAGGTATGCAATGAAATCAGACCGAATCTACTTCAGCGTCTTGTTTGTCACGGCAGACATGGCTGTTGGTCTTTATTAATTTGGCCGACAGCAACAGCTCATTCAAGTAGGTCCATGCCAGTCTTATTGGCACTGCATTATTCCGTGTGTTGTGTTAGACAATTGTCTGACTATTATTAGTACTTAATTTTTTGCACAGAAATGAAAACGCATCAAGCTCAGTGGTTTGGAAAAGTTTTCATAGTTTTAACGGTGTGAGGTAAGTGCATCCACACTAGAGAATACATTAGCTGCATAGTTTATCTAAGAGGGTAAATGAGAAGCTGCGTCACTTTTTTGCGTGCCATGAGATCGAGCACTTCAGCTCCCGGACAACTTGTAATAGGTGTGCTTTGGAGAAAGAGGCGCCAAAGTGACATCGTGCTCTCGAGAGGCTTTTTGGGGTTGAATACGCCTCTAGTTGCTCTTGTTACTAATTGATACCTTTCTTTTACATCCGGCCACTGCCGCAAGGCATTTTATAGGTTCTTGAAGCTGGTTCAACTCTGGGCCCTGCGGCTTCAGGAGTTTTCTTAACTGTTTTCGAAATCGTTGGTGATTTGGTCTCTGCAGCTACAAATTTCTTCGACTGCCTCCGTGCTTTCTTCCTTACCTTGGCTTTGGGTATTTGATTATTTTCCTATCACTTACTATTCCTCAATGCTTTATTTGTTTTGTTTCAGGATCCTGAGCTGCAACTGCAATCCAAGCGCCATATGACATCTTTACCTTTGCTGAGGGAAATGAATCGTTTAGCAAAAACGCATGCTATTAGCGCAAGTCAGTTTTCTTGTGCGAGAGACCCCAAATGGGGTGAATTTTGAATAGACGGTCAATTATACTACAAAATTCCAGGCGATGACGTCTTAGAGTATACACTGTCCGCTCTATCATCCATACATGGGTTTTGTGACTGGCGTCGTACTATCTTGCTTTCGGCAATGTCTTCTCATCGTCCAACGTTGGTGCAGGTAGTTTGAAGCACTAGTTGCATTTTTTTTCACTTTTGCAACTCAGTTTCCCCATATTTCATATTTTTACTCTACAAATCTGGTCTCTTCGTTTTAAGAAGTGGAAGAAAGCCTAGTGATGCGGACGAGAGTGTGCCGGAAGTAACCCAAGCGATGCCTCCTCCCAGGGCCCTTCTCACTTGTCGGTCGCATTTTGTGTTCTCTGTCGGATCGCCCGCCAACCAATATTGCAATTAAGGGAAGCATGCTTGAGCTTTCCCAGTGAGGGTTCACATAAAACTTGAGAAAGTGGGCAGCATGTTCAGGAACGAAGGTGGAATGGTCAACTTAGGTTTTCGGAATCTAGTAATGTGACACCGACCTCTGACCCTCCCAGTTCCTCAGGTGTGGACGGCGTAACCGTTCGTTGTTCCATTTCCAAAAATTTTGCGATTCCCCTTATGGTGGAGAGGGGGTCTTGGTACGACCACTTATCACACCATCATCTTCAAGATATTTCCCCAATACCATCCCTATCCATTTACTCCGACCACCACCCTCGTTATCATGACTTTCTACAACACATATGTACAAGTATTTAATTCTGAGATCAGTTGACACAACCCAATCTCCCCAGCCTTTCTCCAGAACGAAGGAGTGCAAGTAACGGAGGATGGGGTAAAAAGGCCTACCGAAACTGCAAATGCTACAATTTTGTCATGTTACCCTTTTCCTCGTAGAGACTCTCCACAAAAGGCACAAAAAATTGGCAAAAGGGCCGATATCACTCCATCACAATAAACTCGACTTCCAAATTTCTCAGCGTTCTGAACTGCACCGTCGCTAATACGGCCTCCACCCCTCTGAAAAAAAACTCACATACGACCCCATCGTTAAGAACTGCGCAAACGTTTGCTATGCGCTCACAACGGATTTAGGTTGGTGGAGATGGATCGGGATGGAACTGACAAGTGAGTGGAAACTACGGTACGGAACAATGCCTCTTTTGATCATGAATCAAGAAAGATAGCGAGTATGCGGTTAGCAGGATTTAAGCCTGAAAATGTCTAAAAATACTGGTGGGCACACAACTTTCACAAGAAAAAGATGTAAGATGATCGCAGCGTATGAATAACTTAAAATGAATAGTCGGGTCAAGTGAAAACGGACATTTAGGAGAGTTTTTATTATGACTAGAAATGTCAAATACTTCAGACTGCACTCTCTTACTTGGCGATGTTCGTGTCATCGCTCGATGCCGCTTCATTGCATCGATTGTTGACTCCAGCGATCGAATTGGCTTCGGATCCTGGTTTTACGGTAACTCGAATTTCTTGATTTTTGCACTTTTGACACTTTTTTAGCTGTATACGATCCACCTTCTCTTTTTTTCTCTCTTTTTTGTGCTATTTCTACTTTTACTTTCAAGTAAGCTCTTCTCTCTATAAACAGGCAGGGGGCAAAAAAAGAGTCACTTTGCCCATGGCCCATATCATCGAACTTTTCGTCGCAAAGGATGCCGCTGCTATTGGGAGTTAATTGGCGAATTATTCCTCGATGCCTCATAAGCAGAACCAGGTCCCACTTTCGCTGCTTTCACCGTCTCCAGAATATGACGTCATCTGTCATCACCGTCGAGCTCAAGGAGGCCTACCATAATCGCTCCAATTCTGAAGCTGCTACATATATTCTTCAATCGGATAACTGGTGAATGTCTTCTTAGGGACACTAGCTCTGAATATGCAAAATGGCTTTTGACAGCGTTTTAGGAGACGTAATCGTCTTTATGGTTTTTTCCGCATTCGTGGAGGTCGTACACGAATGTTTCCGTAAGGGACAATCTTCTGATATCGTTGGTGTAGAGAGGCTTATGGTAATTTTTTGCAATAGGTGCCTTTTATTATGACATTAAGTTTCTTCGGTTTAGGTTTCCATAAAGTAATTAATTCTGTTTTGAATGTGAGTGAAGGTGACTCTTTTTTTGGCCCCTGTTAACAGATGGGATGTCCCTTCGAAAGCAATTTTTTTTAGGATTTGACAGTACCCTTCAGATCTTGCGAATAAGGTTAAGGGGAGGTTCTGAAGGATGATAACCCTATCCATTGGACGTCTTTAGCACGCGATTGTTGTTCGGAAAGGCAACCACCTGGCTCGAGGAGGGGATTATAGGTAGCGATTGTATAAATATGTTTCTTAACGTGATCGTGAGCTTTGCAGTATCGTTGGCGTTGTTATCGTAAGGGACCTGAGTGGTTTTATACGTGAATTCGGTAATCGATTCTAGGGTGGGATATGAGCGCCCCCCCATTGTGCACGCCAAATTGAGCTCACCTGAGTTTTTCAATTGAGTACTTGAATTGTGCTGGATTAAGGCGTGGTAGCCGTTTTTTTTTTGAACTTTTGACTAATATGCACTATGTTTGGTAGTTGCTAGCTTTTGATGCGTCTGTTATTGGTTAAACTCGTTTAATCATGTTTCACTTATTTCAGAGCTCCAAAGTGGATATAGCATGCGTTCTCAACGCTTTATCTCACTCTTTGTGTGCCAGTCATCCGGAAAGCGAAGTTCACAGCGCGACTGGTGTGACATGCAGGGCCTGCGAGAGAGTGGTGGCTGGAACGCTGATTCCTGAACAAGAAAAAGTTCATCAGCTGCCAGGATTGTTTGAACTTCTCATCAAGGTGCTTACGGATCCAAAATACCAGAAGGAAAAGCATATACGATTAGGTAATATTTTTCTTCTTCTACAAGGCGGGATACAGAATTAGAATAGGAGCTGACTTCAACATTTCGACATTGTATTATGCGTGGGATCCGAGCCTACTCGTTCCATGGAGGTCTCAAATTTCTGACGCATAGTTGAAAGGTGTCGAATCACTCGAGAGGTAGTCCACACCAACTCAAAGCTACGTGTCGGGATTAGGTGCCAAGAAGTACCCTTTTATAATGAGAAAGAGGGGCTTTCAAGCGCGTAAGGCGCGGCTCAAAAGTGCCGGACAATGGCGCTAAGGCCTTGCCTTGTGTGCTGCCGTGCTGCCATCCTTATCAACCACGGCATACATGGTGTCTGCGCCCTCTCGCGTACGACGTGCTCTCTCGCGTTTTCTCTTTCGCAGCGCTGTCTCTCCGTCTTACCACGGCAGCGTCACAAAAAGTTTCCAAGTTTCTGGGGCGCTTCTCACTTTCCCTCTCTTTCCACGTTTCTCACTGCACTTATTGGCTCCGTTTTTCTTATTATTTACTTATTTTCAAACAAAATAACACACTGATTTGATGCCAACATTTACTTTTAACAGAAGATGCTTCCTATGTGTCATTGCGCAGGCTAAGTGTGCACTCAAATGTATCTACGTTCTGAACGGATGTTGGGTGCGTGGCTTACGTCGGAGTGATTCGTGAACACAGAAGCCCCGCCCTTCTTCCTTCAGTCCAGCGCATTGAATCCCTTTGCAAAAGATGTTGTCAAATATGCGGTCAAATGGCAACATATCGTCGTTGCTATCGCATTTCATTGTTGAAAGCATGCTGGCTGGCTCTGATGGGACAATTATAAAATACAGGGAGAGGGGGCAATAAAAAAAGACATTTTGTCTCCAGACTCAAATGGATTTAATCACACTTTGCTCAGCTCAAAGCGTGTGCTCCCAACTTAGAATTGAAGAGCGCATTTCATTTCATAAGAAAATCTTCATAGTGGCCATCTACGTGGACGGCATCAGAAAATTTGCCCCGGAAACATGGTGCTCTGGTCGAGCTCAATGGGGTTCTCGACTGATCGTGTACCGTTACGACGGTTTCCGAAGGGCGGGTTCCGAGGGGGTTTGCATAGTTAGAGCTAATGTAGGAAACTATCCACGTTGAATCGATCCAAGAAATTATGTAAGAGCTTCAGGCTGAAGCAGTTACTGTAGGCCTCCTGAGCTCGACGACGGTGACAGATGACGTCATATTCTGAAGACGGTGAGGGTGAAGTGAAGGAGGCCTGTGTGTACTTATAGAGGGACATTTAGGGAATATTTTGCTGAGGAAACTTGTGTCTTTATTCTTTATCTTGCTTTCTTTCGTCAAACGGACGGCAATCTCTCGCTGTAAGAAAAAGAGGCCGAAGTGCGAACAGCAGTCACCCTGCGTTGCGCAGTTCTCAACGGCCACGTTGCGCAGTTTCGCCCGATTAGACACGTTCTCTCGCGCGAACATTCACACTCGCATGCTCGAGCCGTCTGCGTCTCCGCCCATACAGCGTGCGTTGAGGATCTCTCAACGTGCCGTTGCGAACTGCGCAACGCAGGGTTGACTCTGCTTGATGCGTCCACTACGACAACAACACGCGGCACGCCTTATGGCTATCTC